TTTCGCACTGAAATATTTAAAAAAAGTCAACTGATTATTTTGATATTTTTGTAAAGTGTAAATTATTACTCCATATTATCATCTTTACGTATGACATTAATGCTTCTACATTCAGTGGGCAAGGCAAAGAAACATATTCTTCACATGATTTGCCAGTATAATTTTTAAAAAACTACTTCACAAAAAATTCAGATTTAATTAAAAAAAGGGTTAGCATTACATCACAGGTTCTCTCAAATAACTTCATATTATGAATGTTTCAGCAGTACCTACTTAATGAGACAATATTTCTCAGGTTTAATATTATTGTAATTGGCAAAACCTTATTAAATGTTTGCTTTTGAAATTAACTTAATTTCACCAAGTAATAAATGCTCCGAATACTGTTACTAGGGGAAAAAATTGTAAAGGCAAGAAAACACCATTAGTAAAATATTGATAAAACATTATCATATACTTCAGAATAATCTTTTTGAAATTACTATCACCATTAAATAAACTATATCAAATCAAAAGCAATTAGAAAACCGGTGACTCTTATTGAAACAAAAATAAATTAGACTACATAACACAAACACACATACACACAGAGACAGACATATACACAAAATAATGTAACCTATGGCATAAGGGGAAAAAGAGTTGCAGCACATAGCACCCCTTATTAAGTTTTCTCGTTCTGCAAAACGTGCAATTTCTTTCAAATCTACCAACTCATTGGTGTATAGATTAAATGAAGATCAAAGGACTGTGTGTCATTAATCACAGATAACGATTCCAAATAGTTGTTCACCAAACACAGGTTTTTTGAGAAGCATGCAAAAAATGCATCACACTTGTTACAAGTGTAGCTTCATCCAAGGAATCCACACCAGCCTCTCCATTTGTGTTCTCTTCTGTGTATACTTCAATCTTCAAAGCACTGACCTGAACAAAACCAGGATTCGCTTTCTAAAAAGAAGGCGTTTTGGAATCATAGCTTGAAACATACTTTACTAAGACCAACGTTATGATATTTTTTCTCCATGATTTTCTTCACTGGTTCTTCATCTTTGAAAGTAATGAAGCAAAATCCTCTGCGCTTATTGGTTTTGTTGTCCATAGGAAGTTCTATTGATTCCACCTGATCAATATACCAAATTAGATTGATAAGAGTCAGTTATTCTGTAGTCTAATTGTTACAAAGCTTAACAGTCATTTACTATTTATTAATGTTAAGCAACCATTATACCAAATAATCTGAAGAAACTTCCTCTTAGTCCATTTACTGAGTTAGAATATGTTTATACTGCTGACCCTACATGAACTTTTATTTATTTATGAGTACACATAAAATTAGAAATTACCAAAATCCATATAAAATCCAGCCTCTTTATAAATCAGTATGTCTATATACTCACTAAGAAAATATAGCTCTTAAGAATTTATACTTGTTTCACCTTTACAGAAAAGATGCTTGAAATTTGATTCATCTCTGGCAAAACTTACTACTGATACTTACATTTAATTTGAAATGCTCTGTTCATATAATAGAATTGCTTCTACAATAAAATGAGTGCAATTCCCCCTCTTCATTTAACTCAGTGCTAAAACATCTGTTGATTTTAGTGAAGTTGGCATTACCTCACAATTCCAGAAATGATCACCAATACAATTATGACACTCTAATCAGTGACAGATCAATGCTTAAATTGACTTCTGAGTGAAAAAAATATAGGCATCCCAAGAAGCACTTGGTTTATAATTTAAGTTTATAAGCACTTGTGCCCTCCAATTGAAGACAAGATTAAAATTGGTATTTACATAAACAATTGTGAATCAAACAAACTGGCCAAACCAACACCCAAAACAAATACAGGTAGTCCTCGCCTTATAATAGTTCATTTAGTGACCATTCGAAATTACAACGGCACTGAAAAAAGTGACTTACGACCATTTTTCACACTTATGACCTCATCCCTATTGTCACACAGTTAAAATTCAGACACTTGGCAACTGACACATATTTATGATGGCTACAGTATCCCAGGTTCTGTAATCATCCTTTGTGATCTTCTGACAAGGAAAGTCAATGGGGAAGCCAGATTCACTTAACAACCGTGTTACTAACAACTGCAGTGATTCACTTAACAACTGTGGCAAGAAAGGTCGTAAAATGGGGCAAAATTCACTTGTCTCGCTTAGCAACAGAAATTTTGGGCTCAATTGTGGTCATAAATCAAGGGCTATTTGTATATACACATTCTTCTTCAAAAATATTGTACAATGATCTAAATAATTAAGAATTCTTTAACCAAGACATGAAAAAAATTAACTCACCTCACCAAAACCTCCAAAATACTCCCTTATTTTCTCTTCTGGTGTATCTGGTGACAAGCCACCCACAAAGATCTTTTTCACGGGTTCTTTTGTTTTCATTGCTTTAGCTCTTTTAGGATCAATCACTTTGCCATTCAGTTTGTGCTCTTTCTGATCCATGACCTGAAAGCAATTTTTCTTTTTAAAGAAAAGCTTTACAAAATAAAACATATGTTTTTATGACTATAATGCCCTTATCTTATAATTTGTACTGTCTTGAAATTAACAGAACTTCAAGAACTTGCACAATATTTCCACTTTTTCATTACTGATTTGTGCTTGTCTATTTTTTCCTGTTTATATGCCACTTATATGCCACCCATCTCGCCTGGAGATGATTCTATGTAGCTTGTCTAATTAGAAATAAATAAAAACAAACTTACCTTTTCCACACTCTCAGATTCTTTGAACAGCACAAAGCCAAAGCCTCTTGACCGCCCTGTAATTGGGTCTAGCTTCAGAGTGCAATCTACTACTTCACCAAATTTTGTGAAGTAATCCTTAAGATCCTTCTTTGTAGTATCCCAGCTAAGGCCGCCGACGAACATTTTTCTGTAGACACAATTGAGTTTAAAGCTGTAAATTATCAACACTATATTTTAACTTAGCAGCGTATGTCACAAGTATACCAACTTGCCTTTAAAGGTTCCAAGATTACAAAAATGTTTAAAAACAAACCATCCGTGTTCACAATCACCTTCTGTGACCTAAATGCACTAGAAAAATGAAGTGTGTCTGGAATTTATTCCTTATGTTACATTTAATAGAAATAAGTCTACAGTACAGTAGCAGTGGCCACAAACATAAACCCTACAGATTCAAACCAATGAATCTTGGAAGGAGCAGATTCACACCAAATATCTTATTTTTCAAACTGCTCTAGCTAGAGGCTGATCTACAAATAGAAACTGCCTGGTATTACTGCATGAAGATAAAATCAGCCAAAGAAAAGCCCCATACAAGTAGCATAAACCTAATTGCTGTCAAGGAGTCTGAAACTCTCTCAGAAGAGGTTACACATATAGTAATTTTTTTACTTAAATAGCAAAGTTAATCATACTAGTGTCCCAACAGCAAAGCCCCCTTCCTTCCTCCATTCTGCTGACAGTCCAGGCTAACACCCACTCACTAGCCTAAAATACTTTCCATAGCTATACGCTTACCTACACAAGAGATAAAGTAGGGTTGCCACCTTGACATGGAAGTGACCACACAACTGGCTGGCTCTGCTTACATGTCATATCCAAGGCTGCTTTTACTCTATTGCAACAAAACAAAGTGTTGGGTGTCTTAGATCTTAGTGCAAACACAAGTGTTTTTATATGAATGCATATCAATAGCAAAATTTGCACCAATTTTAAAAATACTAGTAACGGCAGTTTCAGTCTCTTGATTTTGAAAGTGAATATATCTTTGTTATGTGAGAACTATGTACAAACTGCACATGACACAGAACCTACTAATTAATCGTTTTGGATTGTCAAGTTTTCAGAACTCACTGTCATGAATTATCTTTATAGTTCCATATGCTACAGCAAGGAATTTTTTTGTGTAATATTTTATCTATTTATATCTCCTATTTCTAAACCGCCCAATCTCCCTCAGAGATTTTTACATTGATATTACTCCTGTAAATCTTTGCCATATAAAGTACCTAACAGCAATTTCCAAAATGATAAGTAAGGACATGTTCAGCCACTCCCTACATAGCAATGCCAGAAAAGAAATTTATAATCAGGGAACTGAATGTACCACAAGTTTTCCAAACAGGCCAAAATGTGGGAAGGAAAGACTGAAATGTGAAGATATAAATACTGAAGAAAAAAACCATAATTATCTCTTCTTCAAAACAGCATATTGAAATCTCACTTCTCTTCCCAGCCAACGCCATGTAATTTTTTATCTTAAGTTTGCACCCTTAACACTTGCTTACTGCATGTGATGAAATGTAAATGTTGATAGAATGCCTCATATTTGGGCTGAATGAATTTCTGCATGAAAACATTAACTAATTTTCAGAAGTGGACATGCAAAAGGAACCAGCTGATGCATATTTAAGTTAAAATAAGCACATTTATTAGATAAATATGCATCTTTACAAAAGTTCAAAAACAAACTGGACCACCATTTGATTGGGATAGTATAAGATTCCAGCCTTGAGTAAGGAGCAAGACCAGAAGGCCTCTGAGGTCCCTTCCTATGATTCTATGATTCAAAGGCTGATAATCAGATGCATGTTGTAAAACAGGGACCATGACTACACATGTGGCCACTGCAGCATCCCACAAAATTAAAATTTGGGATTTCTGATGAAGCATTGGGGATTTAAATCACAGTCTCTGGCTTTGCAGAGGCTTACCACAAAAGAAATCAGCTTAGAGAGAGGAGGGAACCAAGAGATTAAATTAGTATTTTTAGCCTCAGCAAGGCTTAAGATCTCTCAACTGTTAAAAACCATTCCTAAAAGTGTGGTTTTTTTTAAAAAAAATATCTTAACCTATTCTAATAATGTAACATTTCCAACCATATCCTTGTGGTTCTACAAGCCAAACAATATTGTCTTCTCTCCCAAACCTTCACTAACTACCGGTATAAGTTTGTTAAAGTCTTGGGGAAAAATTTCCAAGTGACAAAATGTCCTAAACAAGCTATTGGTCTTCTTTATATTGTTAACAGTTCCAAATTGAATGGAAGATTCTTCCTCTTTAAAATAATCAATGTGCTAGTTATTTGTTTAAATATTTTTTTGAACACCTCAAAAAACCTGTACAAGACTGATGCACCATGATTGACTTGTCTATTTCAAATAAAACATGCAAACCATATGTAATACCAGAACTGCTTTTTAAAATAATGTACTAGTTTTGGCTGCATTAAAAGTTTTTTCCGAAACAACTTTAAAGTTGTGACAGACTAAAGTGGAAAAAAATCACTCAAACACAGGCAATTTTTATCACTAGAGATTTGCCTCTCTATTAAGATTCTATTAAGTTTTTAAAACTGAAACTTTGAAATCCTCTGCTTTAAAAAATCAAATCTATATACCACACTGTATACAAACAAAAAGCTTTCTTCTCAAATATCTGGATACCCTCCAGATATTTAACAGCCTATGTCAATCACAAAATCAAAATCTACATTAGAGTCTGTGTTCCATGTCAATGCCTTTCATGTGTTCATTAATCTATATTTCACTTTAAAAACACATTCATATTCAATGCCCAAGCCTAAAACAAACTTGTCAGATTATTATCCCTAAAAGAAAGAAAAACTATTCAATTTCTCTGCTGCTACACTATTTCCCACAATATATTTTTGTAGCTGCATACATGGCCCTTTACCAATAAAAGAAAATTGTTGTTTTCACCCTGATGTTCTTTCCAACTATGTCACTCTAAAATACATGTTACTCCAAATTAGATTTTGCTTCTTTGGGGGAGGGTGGAGAAGGCATATGAAATACAGGTAGACCTCGACTTACAACCACAATTGAGCCCAACATTTCTGTTGGTAAGTGAGACATTTGTTAAATGAGTTTGGACCGATTTTACAACCTTTCTTGCCATAGTTAATTGAATCATTGCAGTTGTTAAGTGAAACTGGCTTCCCCATTCACTTTGCTTGTCAGGTTGCAAAAGATGATCAGATGACCCAAGGACACCGTAACCATTATAAATATGAGTCAGTTTCAACTGTCTGAATTTCAATCGCATGGGGATGCTGCAACGTTTGTTAAGTATGTGAAAAATGGTCATAGATCTGTTTTTTCAGCGACATCGTAACTTTGAACGGTCACTAAACGAACTGTCGAGAACGACCCCTAATCCACATCCCATTGCGCCAATTCAGATCACAAGCGTGTGATTTCGAACTACAGGCAGTCCTCAACTTACGACCACAACCAAGCTTAAATATTTATGTTGCTGAGAGAAATTTGTGGAGTTTTGCCCCATTTTACGACTTTTTCCTTCCAAGTCGGCTAAGTGAATTCCCCACTCGTTAAATTAGTCAGTTGTTGGGTTAAGTGAATCTGGTTGGTCATAAAATGGGGAATCCCTGACACATGCCTGGTCATAAATGCGAATCAGCTGTCAAACATCCAGATGTAAATCACATGACCGTGGGGGGGGGGGGACACGCTGCAACCGGTCGTTCAGTGTGAAAAACAGTCGTAGGTCGCTTTTTTCAGGGCCCGTTGCGACTTCGGACACTGTTGTAAGTCGAGGACTGCCTGTAACTTCTGCCACCTCCTCCACCTTCCCTCAGGTTAGCCGTCTAAAACACAGAGCCAAAAGCGGTCCCTTGGGAGTTTCCACACTTTTTCCTGCTTCCAGGCCGGGGATGCCCGACCGCCCCGCGCCTCGGCGAGCTTCTTCCAAGGCTCTCTGGAAACCCTCGGAGAAGGGGACGAGGGGGAGAAGGGCCGGCTTACGGGGGCGGAGGAGGGAAGAGGAAAGGAAGGAACGAACGAACGAACGAGTGGCGAGTTTCCTGCAAGAGGCGAGATCGCCTCAGCCGCCCGTCGTCTCCTCAGGACCGAAAACTGGGGGGTGGGGGGAGAGGAGAGGAAAGAGGCCTCTAGCTTACCCTTCATCCTCCTCGTTCTTGCTGGCGTCGATTTTGGCTCCCTCCGATTCGCTTGAGCCACCGCCGCCTCCGCCGCCTCCCCCTCCGCCTTCTCCTTCATCTCCTCCTTCTTCTTCGGCCTCTTCCATGCCGTCGCCGCCGGGAGCAACGATCCCTTCGAGCTGCTCGCTGTCTTCCGAAGCCTCCGCCAGCGCTTCATCTCCGGCGAACTGGTCGTCCGACATGAGGCGAAGGGAGGGGGGGCTATTTAAGAAAAAAGGGAGACTCGGCTGGCCGGTCTCGAAGAGGGAAAGAGGAATAAATAGGCCGCTGAAGGGGACGCCGCGGGAGGGAGAAAAAAAAAAAGCGAGGTTCTCCACGGGGAGGGAGAACGAAAGCTCCCGATTATTTCCTCCTTTCTCGCACTTTTAATGGCGCCGCCTGGCTGACTCCGACCTAAAATGGCTGACGGGAAGAATGCGGCGGCGCGGTCACGTGAGCCCAGGGCCCCCGTTTCCTCGCGCGCATTTCCTTCCCCGCGCGCATCACGGAGGCGGATGGCTAGAGCGGCACCGCCTTCGCGCCGCGCTCCAGCAACGCCGCCTTTGGGGCCTTTCCTTTTTATTAACACTATCTTGATTTGATAAATTGACTAGAAAAGCAAAACCAAGGAGTTTATATCAACATTGAGAATATTAAGTAAATGCTTTAAGGAAAATTGAAGTCAATCCTTTTCTCATTTTATTTTGGGAAAAATGTATTGTTTGGCACAAATTATTTAAAATATTTTTATGTGTATCCATTCAATTTTGGTCATTTTACCTTATAAAGTTTACCCCAAGATGGGACGGACTTATCTTCAAAGCTTTCTATACAAAAAATATATAATTTTTTATAAAAAATATAATTTTGTGTGTGTGTATACATATACATACATACATAACTCCTGGCATCTTAGAAAAAATATTGAAAGATGTGACAGACATTTTACAACTTTCATAACAGTTCATACACCTATGGTAGTCATGAGGCACCCTCAGAGAATCTACTTTCAGATGTTAACACATGAATATTTTTTTGGCATTCATCCATCCTTCTTTTAACAAAGACAAAAATAACACTGTCAAGGGTGGAAAGTTTTAATTGTTGAGCAACTTTTATACTAATGCTTCATCTTCTGTAAGGGAAAGACTTGTATCTAATGGTAGAAAAGAATCCTCTTGGTTAACTTTAATCTTCAAAGCTTCCAACTCTTGTTTCCCTTAAACCCCCCCCCCCTTTTTTTGGTACTGTTTGAAATTTGTAGTTAAGATGTGGGGAATTGCAACCCGATCTTTTTTAAGTTGCCATGGTTGAAAAACACGTCAATACATAAAGGTTTTACATTCTGCCATTATGTGCATGCACACATATGTGAGTCACTCACATATGGGTTCCAGAAAAGGCACCAGAAAATCACTGCTGTGCTGCAAAACTATCTTTCCAACTGATTCTTAAACAGCCACGTTACATTTTATAGTAGTTTAATACATTTTTTTTTTTCATTTTTTCCTGTCATCTTGTTTTACCAACTCTCCTAGAAAATTGATATACTGAGGCTTGGGCTTTTATTATCAAACATTTGATAATGAAGGCCAAGTCTCGGTATATAAATCTTTTAAGAGTGAATAAAACAGATGGCCCCAAAACAATGCTTCCAATTAAAATAAAAACATTACTGTTAACTGCCAAGCAGATAAAAATTCCCCCATTGAGCAGGTAACTGAAGACACTAAACTCCTGCAACTGTTTGGGCATTTTAAAACACTGCTACAGTCCTTCACTATGAAGTGTTAAGGCATAAATATTTGTTCCAAATTTTCAATGTCAACCAATCTCCAAGACACATTTTAAATTGGGCGGGGGGGGGGGGGTTAAACAGAGCATTCAGAAAAATAAAAGTATTTGGAGATGTCATCTTTAACATTTTTTTTACAAAAAACCTTAACTATTATCTGCGGCATTCATCGATACAGCACTTTAAACCATTGGAATAATTCTGAATTGTCAGTGGCTCTAATTTGACCTTTCATTCCAAACCAGATTAATTTTGAACTATGAACCAAATCTTCTCATATTTTGGATGTTTTTATTCATACTTACAATATTGTATTAAAAAAATAGCTTTGCTTTCTTAAAGTACGAGCAACACATTTAGCCTTTCCCGTTTTGTTCTGTGAATATCTTTATTTGCAATTAATCAGCCATGTATCGAAGTGAAAACTCATCAGCAAGAGTAAATATCAAGTTCATAGCTCTTTTCTTAAAAACCATTTGCTTCAGAGATCATTCAATTAACTCTAAAACAAAACTCACCTGGGTCTCAAATGGGCAAAAATGAACTCAATAAAGCTGGTAATACATTTTGTGATTTTGCTTTTTTTAATGGATCATAGCTCATGAAAGTGAAGTCCCTTTATGTCAAGCTCAAACCCTTATCTCTTGAATGCATCTATGGAACTTTCTTGAAACACGAAAATATAACTTTATTAACTTTTTTTTTACTTCCCAGTAAAGCCTTAAACTCTTAAGGTTTTCAAACTGTTGATCAGGTTCAACCAATTAGGGATTAGACAACATCCAGCCACTTGTTGCCATTTTCTGGTCAAAATACTATAATATTAAAAAAGGTATAAAAATAAATCTTAAGCTTACAGACAAAATTAGCCTGAATGAGGTAGTTAAGTTTTGACGGTGTTTATATTCTTAATGCTAGATTGATATGCAAACTTTCCCAAGTATGCTACATTTTTGTATAACAGACTTAATATCAACATTTTATCAAGACTGATAAAATCATGTTAAATTTTCTATTCAGGAAACTGTTCAAATTCATCTGATACAGGGTTTTTTTTGTGTAAAATCTTTGTTACTTATGCCTTAAGTAACATAATTTCTGCATAATTCAGGCTCTATTTTTTTTTTTTTCTTTGCTGAAATATTTGCCCAGCCGATTTACAGATGATCTGCTTTTCAAAAAACATTTCAACAAAATTATAGTTAAAAAAACAATTCTAATTGTGCTGTTTTCATAGCGATGATGTATTAATTATCCAGAAGCACCCATCATCCTGCTTCCATAAATTGGTTTTGCAGTCATATTTTATCAGCATTATCTTTGCAGAAGGTTAGAAGTAACATAAGGTTTCAGTGGCAATACATTCAGAATATATTCTCAAAAGAACGAGTTGTGGAAAAAAAGCTCAATTATTTAGCAGTCAACATCTTACCAAAGTTGATGGCTACATAAATAAGGTTTGTGGTTCGCCTCTATTTACATGTGATCACAAAGTGGTCATTTCAATGCATGAAAATTTATTTATTAACATTTCTATACTGAAGATTCCCAGCAGTTAACAAGATTATAACAAATCATAAGGCATTACAACACAGGATACTACTCTTGAAAAATCATTCTATTTTTGCAGCCTCCTCTCACTGCAATATTCTAAATCCAGGTACATATCCGTAACACGGCACACTCCAGTGCTGCTGACCTGCAAGTCCCAGCATCTGTCGGAAGCATGGCGACGAGTCTCAAAAACTGTTCAGCTCTGCTACTATACACAGTAGTGCCAAGAGCACACCCTCTTCAAAATGCCAGTCACAGAAGGTAAGTTTTTTTTATTTCAGTCATTCAACATGAAATACAAATAAAATTGTATAAACACAAGAACCACATTGGCATCGTAACACAGATGACAAAAAGACAAAAAAGTAAAAACCATAAAGAAAACTAGCCGGTCACTATGTACAGTTAAGACACTGCTGTGTCATACACTAAAAGTCTTTTACAAAACAATTTCATGTCACGAAGACTACCCTCCAGTCAAGTCCTTTTTAAGTTCTGCAAGATGGCTTTGCTGTAGTCTCTACCTATAAAACCAAGACAAAATAATTATGAGACCTGTGCAACGTTTAGAAGAATTTTTAAAAGGTCCATTTTCATGAACTGCTTTAAGTCCTCTATTTATTCCTTGTTTCAGCGTTAAAGATCATATGCATCAGTCAATATGAAATACTTTTGATAATCCAATTTATATTTTACATCCCGGTTGACCAGTTCAGCTCAAATGATGGAGCTATGTCAAGGAACTGTAGAAGCTCAGCAAAGTAGTTCTTGGTTTACTAGAAACCAAGCTGTGGTAGAATCTTTCATAGCTTCAACCGCTAATGAAAATAGAGAAATGGCAATACACCAAGGAAAATTATGGTTAGCCAGGTGGTTAAAATAGAAGCTGCTATTTGCACATGATCTTTAATGTTCCAAGATTTAAAAGTTCGTTTTGGTTTGTAGATTTCACTAATAGCTATAAAAGAAAAAAAGCAAGCATTAAATCTTAAAGAACGAACACTTAAAATGAGGTCCACAATTGATATACAACACTAAACAGAAGGCCAAAAATGATTAAGCTGTAAAGGCATTTATGCACTTTAACTCCTGTAAAAAACCATTTTAAGTTAAGTTAAGACACTTAAATCGTCAAAGATTTTTAAAAAGAAGCCAAAGTCTGAAGTTTTCCACTTTAATCTTTACGCTGGTACATGAAGTTGGAAGAGACCATACCACAGGACAGCGTTTTCTGGTGTATGCCTTGCGCTCTGCCTGCAACGTGCGACCCCCAGAGATAGACGTGGTCAGGGTGACACACGGCCTGCAAGGAAGTTCCCGCTGGCGGGTACAAACAAGGTATAATGTCAGAGTTAGAAGACAACAATCTTGTTTTGCTTAAGTTGTACCCATTTCAGTACTTTACCTGTTGGTTAACACTTCTATTAAGTTTAATTATTCGTCTACACCACCTGGCACACAAAAATGTAAACAGAAAAACTCTTATGTTTCTCTGACATACTAAGGACGACGAATCACCTTTTAGAGTTAAAGATCTATAGACACTTAAAAAACAGAAAGTTTAACAAACATTCACACGTTTTAATTTTTTTAAAAAAAAACAGGCTATCCAAGAGAAGTGATTTTTAAAAAAATTTATTTGTCTATTGATCTTTAAATTAGATTAGACATATGAGAGGTGACAGATTCACCCAATACACACCTGTTTCTTCCCAAGTATTTCTTTAATATGGCTGGTAGTTGTTTTGGTGATTACCGCCACCTCGGGATGCCTTTCCGTATGTGCTTTGCTGTCCTATTCCAAGAGAGAATATTGGCAGTTTTGGGAACCGTAAGATACTGCAGGTTGGTTTGACAAAAAGGCACTCTTGTCAAGCTAGACCTGACTATTTAAATGCAAAAAAAAAATTCTGTAATACTCCTACACTGATATCAACAATGTTAACGAATATTCTACCTTTACTATTATAAAAAGCATCTCAGAATATTGACTTCAGTTTTTAAAATTATTTGGTCTCAATGATTTGCAATAAACTCAAAATCAAGACATTAAACAGTTCAATTAACATAGTTAAAAGTTAAAGAAGGTAAAGGTTTGCTGTCCAGTCATGTCCGATTCTAAAGCATGGTGCTTGTTCTCCGTTTCTTGGCAGAGAACCAGCTTTATCTGGAGACAATTTCCCTG